GACATGACATGACATGACATGACATTACATTACATTACATTACATTACATTACATTACATTACATTACATTACATTACATGACATGACATTACATTACATTACATTACATTACATTACATACATACATACATTACATACATACATGCATTACATACATACATACATACATACATACATACATACATACATACATACATACATACATACATACATACATACATACATACATACATACATACATACATACATAATTACATACATTACATACATACATACATACATACATACATACATACATACATACATACATACATACATACATACATACATACATACATACATACATACATACATACATACATACATACATACATACATACATACATACATACATACATACATACATACATACATTACATACATACATACATACATACATACATACATACATACATACATACATACATACATTACCATACATACATACATACATACATACATACATACATACATTACATACATACATACATTACATACATACATACATACATACATACATACATACATACATACATACATACATACATACATACATACATACATACATACATACATACATACATACATACATCATACATACATACATACATACATACATACATACATACATACATACATACATACATACATACATACATACATACATACATACATACATACATACATACATACATACATACATACATACATACATACATACATACATACATACATACATACATACATACATACATACATACATACATACATACATACATACATTACATACATACATTGCATACATACATACATACATACATACATACATACATACATACATACATACATACATACATACATACATACATACATACATACATACATACATACATACATACATACATACATACATTACATACATACATACATACATACATACATACATACATACATACATACATACATTACATACATACATACATACATACATACATACATACATACATACATACATACATACATACATACATACATACATACATACATACATACATACATTACATTACATTACATTACATAACATTACATTACATTACATTACATACATACATACATACATACATACATACATACATACATACATACATACATACATTACATACATACATACATACATACATACATACATACATACATACATACATTACATACATTACATACATTACATACATACATACATACATACATACATACATACATACATACATACATACATACATACATACATACATACATTACATTACATTACATACATACATACATACATACATACATACATACATACATACATACATACATACATACATACATACATACATACATACATACATTACATACATACATACATACATACATACATACATACATACATACATACATACATACATACATACATACATACATACATACATACATACATACATACATACATACATACATACATACATACATACATACATACATACATACATACATACATACATACATACATACATACATACATACATACATACATACATACATACATACATACATACATACATACATACATACATACATACATACATACATACATACATACATACATACATTACATACATACATACATACATACATTACATTACATTACATTACATTACATTACATTACATTACATTACATTACATTACATACATTACATTACATTACATTACATTACATTACATTACATTACATTACATTACATTACATTACATTACATTACATTACATTACATTACATTACATACATTACAGTACATACATTACATTACATACCATACATACATACATACATACATACATACATACATACATACATACATACATACATACATTACATACATACATACATACATACATACATACATACATACATACATACATACATACATACATACATACATACATACATACATACATACATACATACATACATACATACATACATACATACATACATACATACATACATACATACATACATACATACATACATACATACATACATACATTACATACATACATACATACATACATACATACATACATACATACATACATACATTACATACATACATACATACATACATACATACATACATACATACATACATACATACATACATACATACATACATACATACATACATACATACATACATACATACATACATACATACATACATACATACATTACATACATACATACATACATACATACATACATACATACATACATACATATACATACATACATACATACATACATACATACATACATACATACATTACATACATACATACATACATACATACATACATACATACATACATACATACATACATACATACATTACATACATAGATACATACATACATACATACATTACATTACATTACATTACATTACATTACATTACATTACATTACAATACATTACATACATACATACATACATACATTACATACATTACATTAATACATACAGACATACATACATACTTACATACATACATTACATTACATTACATTACATTACATTACATTACATTACATTACATTACATTACATACATACATACATACATTACATACATACAATACAGTACATTACACTACACTAAACTACATTACATGACATTACATGACATACCATACATACATTCCATACATACATACATACATACATACATACATACAACATACATACATACATACATACATACATACATACATACATACATACATACATTACATACATACATACATACATACATACATACATACATACATACATACATACATTACATTACATACATACATACATACATACATACATACATACATACATACATACATACATACATACATACATACATTACATACATACATACATACATACATACATGCATACATACATACATACATACATACATACATACATACATACATACATACATACATATACATTACATACATACATACATACATACATACATACATACATACATACATACATACATACATACATACATACATACATACATACATACATACATACATACATACATACATACATACATACATACATACATACATACATACATACATACATACATACATACATACATACATACACATACATACATACATACACATACATACATACATACATACATACATACATACATACATACATACATACATACATACATACATACATACATACATACATACATACATACATACATACATACATACATACATACATACATACATACATACATACATACATACATACATACATACATACATACATACATACATACATACATACATACATACATACATACATACATACATACATACATACATACATACATACATACATACATACATACATACATACATACATACATTACATACATACATACATACATACATACATACATACATACATACATACATACATACATACATACATACATACATACATACATACATACATACATACATACATACATACATACATACATACATACATACATACATACATACATACATACATACATACATACATACATACATACACATACATACATACATACATACATACATTACATTCATACATACATACATTACATTACATTACATTACATTACATTACATTACATTACATTTACATACATACATACATACATACATACATACATACATACATACATACATACATACATACATACATACATACATACATTACATACATTACATTACATTACATTACATTACATTACATTACATTACATTACATTACATTACATACATACATACATACATACATACATACCATACATACATACATACATTACATTACATTACATACAGTACATACATTACATACATACATACATACATTACATTACATTACATTACATTTACATACATACATTACATTACATTACATTACATTACATGTACATTACATTACATTACATTACATTACATTATACATACATTACATTACATACATTACATTACATTACATTACCATACATACATACCATACATACATACATACATACATTACATACATACATACATACATACATACATACATTACATACATACATACATACATACATTACATACATACATACATACATACATACATACATACATACATACATACATACATACATACATACATACATACATACATACATACATACATAACATAACATACATACATACATACATACATACATACATACATACATACATACATACATACATACATACACATACATACATACATACATACATTACATACATTACGTACATACATACATACATACATACATACATTACATACATACATACATACATACATACATACATACATACATACATACATACATACATACATACATACATACATACATACATACATTACATTACATTACATTACATACATACATTACATACATACATACATACATACATACATACATACATACATACATACATACATACATACATACATACATACATTACATACATACATACATTACATACATACATACACATACATACATACATACATACATACATACATACATACATACATACATACATACATACATACATACATACATACATACATACATACATACATACATACATACATACATACATACATACATACATACATACATACATACATACATACATACATACATACATACATACATACATACATACATACATACATACATACATACATACATACATACATACATACATACATACATACATACATACATACATACATACATACATACATACATACATACATACATACATACATACATACATACATACATACATACATACATACATTACATACATACATACATACATACATACATACATACATACACATACATACATACATACATACATACATACATACATACATACATACATACATACATACATACATACATACATACATACATACATACATACATACATACATACATACATACATACATTACATACATACATACATACATACATACATACATACATACATACATACATACATACATACATACATACATACATACATACATACATACATACATACATACATACATACATACATACATACATACATACATACATACATACATACATACATACATACATACATACATACATACATACATACATACATACATACATACATACATACATACATACATACATACATACATACATACATACATACATACATACATACATACATACATACATACATACATACATACATACATACATACATACATACATACATACATACATACATACATACATACATACATACATACATACATACATACATACATACATACATACATACATACATACATACATACATACATACATACATACATACATACATACATACATACATACATACATACATACATACATACATACATACATACATACATACATACATACATACATTACATTACACTACACTACACTACATTACATTACATTACATTACATTACATTACATTACATTACATTACATTACATTACATTACATACATTACATTACATTACATTACAGTACATTACATTACATTACATTACATTACATACATTACATTACATTACATTACATTGCATCATTACATTACATTACATTACATTACATTACCTTACCTTACCTTACCTTGCATTACATTACATTACATTACATTACATTATATACATGCGTACATTACATACAAACATGCATACATGCATACATACATACATACATACATACATACATACATATATACAGACATGCATACATACATACGAGAGAGGGAGATTGGGGAGAGAGAGGCTTGGGGGGATGGGGAGGATGGGGAGCAGAGGGAGGGAGAGAGGACGACAGAACACACAAGGGAGACAAGGGAGAGAGGAAGAAGGAGAAAAGGTAGAGGACAATGTCGGCGGACTGAGCCGGAGGCTCTAAAGTTTATGATTGACAGCGCTTGCATATTCAGGCGTGCTTGATGCACAAGCCTCGGGAAGCTTGAAAAGGAAAAATGCACGACCGCAAGTGTATAGTTGGCAGGGAAAAGCTGGGATTGCCTCGAAATCAAACTCGCTGTCTGGTGGCATCTTGCACGTCAGCTGCGCCTCAGTCGCACCAAAGCAAAGACATAAGCCATTGCATGCAGGCTTCACTGGTTCGTCACTTCTGCATTGGCTCAGAATGTCCGAATCTGTTGCTCACAAGTCCAATGCGTAGAGGGCATCTGGCACCTGATGGAAAAAACCCTTCAGCAATTTAATCCAAGATGCACTTTCACTGAGCGCACAGGTCACGTGGAATGTGCCAGTCTGAGAGATCTTTTTCAGATCATAGCACGCCTTGCATGCGCGTAATTGGCGGCTTGAACACAGAAATACCTCCCAAAAAAGAAACTAAAGGACTCATGGGGTACATGATTCTTTCTCTGACACGAAGCCAATCTCAGCACGTCAGTCCACCAAACAAAAACGCTTGCGCCTGAACTCCTGGGGTTCGGGAGTGCGTGGTGAGAAGATCCAGCATGGGCTCGAAGCTACTCTGCACAGACTCCAGACACTTCTGCCTTGGCTTTCCAGTGTGTCAAGCTCTTTGTAGCTTCCCTCCTGTGGTTTGGATTGGTTTGGTGGTAAGGGGGGGGTCTGTTGGCCTTTGTGCGGGGCTTCAAATCCCAAACTCATCTAAACCATTCTGGGCCACCTCTGTGGCTCCCAAAGTTGGCCGAGCGAAACAACCGCCAAGCAACTCTGCTTCGTCCACAGTGAGACGTGAGAGCTCCTAAAGGAGCGGCTCGTGTCAGGAGCACTGCGTTTGTCTTGCGCATTTGTGTTTGAATCAGAGTTGCAAACAGCCCTCCACAATGGTAGTCTCATGCTGCATGTGTTCTCTTTCCATTGTGTGCGCATCAAAGCATGCCCTGACCCTCTAGCTCCTCGATGAACTTCTTTAAGCCACTATAGGGTGGCTTTGTGAAGAGAGCCTCAAGTGCTTCAAACACAGCTGTCATTTGACATGCTGACAGTGCGTTCCTACAGGGACCCTCCAAGATGCCTGGCTCCTGTGTGGCTTCAAGGCAAAAAACTTCCCCTGGACACTCCCACATGCAGTTCTGCAGCCTCTGCCAAGAACGTCCGCATCTGCTTCCTCAGGCCCAAAGTATGCCGCAACCTCAAGAGAAACTCATTGCAACCCGGGGTCAGAGATGCAATGGCTGCCAAGATGATGGGGTCGTCTGTGTTGGGCGTGCACAGGGAAATCAGCCGGTTGAAGTCCTGGCACGGGTCACAGTCCGGAAACTGAAGTCAAGTTGCACTTCAGACTTTAGATATGACTGGCAAGTGTACTGACCACGTCGGTCTTTGGCTGGAAGCACAAGGTGTTCCAGTTGACCGATAGTCAACTGTAGCCATCTCCTCCGTAGAGCTGTGTTGCAACAGCCACTCCAGGGACTTGTCGTGCTTGGCGGCAGTGATCGTGTAGTCCTACGGAGAACGAATCTAAATGTCACGTCATTCTCCCACCCTTCCCTTGGGGTGTTCATGGACATCACAAAATCCCTACGGAATATCATCACTATCCTGGGGAACTCTGCATCGATTCTCGATTCAAGCGCTTGTTCCACTCCGGGATGTAGGGGCATCGTAGTATTGCGACATTTGAGAAAAATGAAAATAAAACATACAACAAATGCTATTCCGTGGCATGCCCAGTTCGCCGGCTGGATCCGCAGTCCTGCATGGCTTCGGAGAGTGTGTTGATGGTCTCCCGGTACGGGTTGACGCCTTGGTCCGATGGAAGGGATGCAAGAGTCGCCAAAGACCCAAGACATGAAGTGAATGCCATTGCACTCGTCTGCTCGAGATGCCTGGCTAGGTTGCAACGAGCGCCACCAACCTAGCAGGCGTCCAAAAAATGGGCTTAGAATGGCCTGCAGGTCTTGAGCTTTCACGCCCTAAAGGAATGATTCTGCCCATCAGTGTGGCTTGTGCGCCCTTGAAGAAGGATGATTCATTGCGGGCCGCATGCACCTGTGCATCGACAGTGTCATGCTCTAACTGCAGGCCCGTTTTGAGCTCTCTTTTTAATAATTACTAGCTAGCCCTTCTGTTCAAGCATTCGCACCGGGCCAAACGTTGAAATTCTCACCAGAGATAAACATACGGCTGATTGGGCTTTGCCTACAAAATCAAGCAGAGGCAGCCTTTGTTTAGAACATGCCTCATGGAAACTTGGCACCGACCTCCATCTGGGAGCCCGACGGGTGGTCATCTCCCCCAGAGTCATCTCCCACATGTGTTCGTACTCGCGAACCACATCGTTCAGCTTTTCCACACACTCATCCTCGTAGGGAAAGCAGGCAGCAGAAGCAAACTGGTATGATGGGCGCTCGCGTGCGCATACACACGCTCTCTCAGACGCGAGCACCACACACACACACACACAGACAGACACACACACAATACAATACAATACAATACAATACAATATAATACAATACAATACAATACAATACAGTGCAATACAACACAACACAATACAATACAATACATTGCAATATATTGCATTACATTGCATTGCATTATATTACATTACATTACATCACATCACATTACATTACATATACACACGCACACGTCGGTCCTTAGGCGTCTCCTTGAAAAGCTCCGACAAGCTCTGGTCACGCAGGTGCAGCATACCTGAAACAAAGCAAAGCACCTGTATGCGACATGAAAGAAACCATGCCCATTTGAGTGACAAAACCTGGTATTGAAATGGTCGACCCAAAACTATGTAAAGAATTAAGAAGGAAGATATTCGCAACTATTTATGGCTGGGACCGTTCATTGTGACTCATTTGAACAGCCCCAAAACTCCGTCTCCCGCCGGGCCCCCGGCTGGGTGCCCACGACCGGAGTTTGGCTGCCAAGCGCATGGAGCGGCACAAATCAGCGGCCTGGATATGAAACCCCAACAGGGTGTGACTTTCTTCATAGGGGACCCGAAATGGTGGACATCAGAATTCGGTGGGGATTCATGTCCACTAATCACTTTTGAGGTGGTTCCCTACTAGAAATTGGTGGGGATTCATGGGCACTACTAACTATTCAAGTTCAGAGCCATCTGTCGATCGGAACCTTCTCTCTAGCTCCTCTCTCCCCCCTCTCTCCCCTCTCTCTCCTTTCGCTACTCTCTCGTTTGAACGCCTGTCGCGTTGCATTGAGGCGGTCGGCTTTGAAACCACCGAACCGCGAAATTGAGATACGGAGCCTGAGAAATTGAGGGCTGGCGGTCAGTGAAAAATCAAGGGAAACGGCTATGGGCTATGGGTCAAAAATAAGCCACCAGGAATTGGACCGCAAATAGTTGTCAATGTAGGGCAACCCATTTGAGCCTACCCTAGTTTGGACGCAAGCACCCAAATCTCCTGCCTCAGCCACCCACGGCCTTTCACTGGACGTCGTGGACTCCTTGGTACAGAGAGCCTTTCTGATACAAGCCATCAGACCCTTAAGGCACTAGCCAAATGCCTTTGGACACCACTTCGCTGCGGGTCAAAAATGGGTACCCAAAATGGAACCCTGTAAATGGAACCAAGGACTCAAACCTGCCGTCCCCTGGTGGTTAAATTTTGACCCATACCCAAATGCCTTTGGACACCACTTGCCCTTTCTGTAGCACCTACTTGAGGGTTGATCAAAAGGTCCGGTAAACATGGGATGACCATTGGTTGGAAAACCACTCAAAAAAGACGACTTTCCATGGGAAAGTTACCCATGCTCATTTGGGGGGCCCTAAATGGAATATTGATCAACCCCCACTTGAAGATCCAAAACAATCCACATGGTTCGACCTAAGTCGTTGCCGATGGACATTGTACCTTCCCGCACTGGGCGTCCGCGAGTCATGTCCCAAATTTGTTTCAGCTGCTGCGATTGATGTGGTGGACAAAATCAGTTGGTTCCCTCAGACATTGGGGAAAAAATTGCCGAAAATGGCCCCTCCGTTTTTGCGAAAAATTTGCGTGGGCCTCCCATGTCCCCAAAACTAACAATATACTACCAGTCTTGTTAGTGGTTCTCGTGATCTTTTAAGATCGTTTCTCCTCTGGCCGAGATGCTAGCAACTTCAACTCCAGCTGGACATTGTTCCATGCGAAGTCCACTACCCAACGAATGTCCTGCAGGCGAGGTCCCACTGCCTCATCACTTCGCCACCGGTGGCACGACAAACCCGTCGACTCTTTTGCAGTCCTTCAGCACTGCCTCACCAGACTCCACACTCTTGGCCAGGCCCTGGACACAGCAGTCGCGCAGTCCTACCTCCCTGGGATGCAATAAGAGAGAACACGCAACTCGTATGATATTCGTCTTGTTTTGTCTGTTAGGAGGGGGGAGAGGGGGAGCTCTGGTTCACCTTGTCTGCCTCTCTCCCTTCCGTCCTCCCAGGTTTGCCGCGCGGTCGGGATGATCTTGTTGACCACCTGTCCCAACGCTTTCAACCAGGCAAGCAGCGAAGGCAAGGAACGGAACCCTGGCAAGTGGAAACATGGACTAAAACCTGCGGTCCCCTGGTGGTTTAATTTTGATCCATGCCCATATTTATGGAGACATGAGCCACCTGCGATGCAAGGTACGAAGCCATCGAGGTCAGGTGACTCCGGGCCTCATCTTGCTGGATTCTCCGCTCGGATTCGCCCTCCGGCCGCGCCGTCTGCTTCCAAATGCCGTTGAAGACTTCACTGCCCTTCAGGGAGAAAAGCCATGACCTCAGCTCAATTTGAGCAAGACGCACTCCAAATGGACCTGTAGGGTGAGCAACTTCAAGTTAAAAATCTAAACATCATCCCGTCAAACCTTCGCCATCCGAACGGCTTCCAAAGAGGCCTGATAAATTTAACACGGCTATTCAGCCCAGGCACATATGCGGTCTCACCGCCATACCGTTGAACTTTGACGCGGCAGTGTTCAGCTCCAAGGTGGTGTAATTAGTGCTGATCCTTGGCCAGAAAGTAGACTCTAAACTGGTCTCACTGCTGCTTGAGATGCATGCAGTGTAGTACAGCACTTGGTGAGCGCCTGCATCCTCTTTTTCTATGACCATCATTCTGAGCGAGGCCAAACCACACACATCATCCTCAAACATGTATAAGTCCGCCCACTTCACTTTCTCCAGGTTTCAATCAAAACGCACAGCTATGTCTAGGCGATGCTTTCTGCTGCGGCGTACGACCTTCGCTGCTTCGTGACAGGGCACCCATCAATGAGCACCTGGAGGTCTGCCGCTTCAATGCTCGCACTGGAGCAGAACCTCGGGCAGCGAATCGTGGACCAGTTTACTTCATGGCAACGAGAAACCCCGAACACACCAAGCTGGTGGGCGACACGAACAACATAGCCAGGCGGTTTGGTGCCATTCCGATGGCAAGTCGCAGCTTCACGTACGCTCGGAGGTGCTCATATTCAGTGTCAAACTTTCTCAACTTGGCATCGCCTCAGATGCAAAGCAGCTTCCTTGGAAACTTCAACCTTTCTTTGCAATAAAAGACAAAATGCTCACCTAGGCGTAGCTCGGATGACTAAATTCAGGGTGTGTTGAACAAGGAATATTAAATGCACTGAATACAGAAATTAAACAAACAAACAAATAACATCGATTAATCAAAAAAAACACAAAAACACATATCTATCATGCAACTTGTGTGTGTGTCGTCTAAAAACAGTCAGGCCAAAACAAAACAGGAAGAAAAAAACTAGCTATATAGTCGGTATGGATTGTGAAGCTTGCTTGAAAGCTCTTGCTCACTCAAAAACTCCTGGCCCGCGTGGATTGTGAACCCTGAAGACTCCACTTCCCACAAACTGACTGGCCTGCAGAATGGTTGAATCCTGAAAGCCTCAGCCCCCATCAAAAGCACCTGAAACTGCCATTTGTTTGGATTGTTGCTCGGAAAGTAGACAAATAAGTCAGGCATGTGCTTGCTCCACCTTTCCAGCCCACCCCAACAAGCTCAGCGCTGCCTCTTCTTCCCAAACTAACCTTGCTTTTCTCAAAGCCGGGCATGTCCTGATAATTCTAAATGTGTACAAGTTCTTTGTCTGGAATGCAAAAGGTATGTCAGACATGCGCTTCCTCCACAATCTGCATGACCTGAAACAGTTGTCTGTTTAGGGGCCCGGAATGACAACATGCTTTTTCAAACCATAAAAGGCAAAACAAACTCATCTGTCCTACTTGAGCATCAAGTTGGGAAACTGTCCCAAAAGCAGTTCTACTAGCAAAGCCAGGGTACCTAAAGCTTTCAAATTGAAAAATACATGAGAAACTGTTGCCAAATGGCTGCTGAAAAGCAAAGTAAAGGCAGCCACTGCGCAAACACTATCGATACAACTGAAAGCTGCCATCAAAAGTGCTACAGGCAAGCAAGGTAAGGGCAGCTTCAATAACATATGTAACATATGTATCAAACTGAAAAATGTTGCTAAAAATAGTGGGGAAGGCAAAATGCTGGCATTCGAAAAAAATTCGGACTGAAAGCTGTCCCCAAAGCTGCCTTCCAAAAGCAGGCCAAACCCGTTGCAACCTTGCCCTTGCACAGCTGCAAGCATACTACAAGCTGAGCAGCTTTCCGGGATGGCTGTTGGCTTTGCAGCCACCTGTGCATGCTTGTGACCAGCTCACAACAAAAGAGAGTCGCCACCAGCCAGAAAATGCCAGGCCCCCGCCTGCGCGACGAGCGACTCGTAGACTGTTCGGTGTCGGATGATGGTGTGCAACGCACTCCTCAAAGCAAGCCATGCAGAATGCGACGCATCATTCTGGGAATCAATGCAACTCAACTCATTGTAGGCTCATACACTTCAGGCAACAGCCTGGAGCAAATCAAGCAAGGCGTAACTGCATGGTTGCAACAGGCATCGATGGCACCAATTTCTCCAAGGCTCAAGTTGATTGTACCCTTGTCCAGGTGTGCTGCAGATTCTTTCAGCATTCTCATGCCTGTCTGCTGTGTATTGTAGAGATTGGCCTCATTGATACCTGGCGTGTTGCAAGCTTCGGCGCCTGACGGTGAGGCTCCCCAAGACAAGACACACCCAAGCGCCTGGTGCGCTCAGCCACTTCTTGCTCAGCAAACGCGACCAAATAGGCTCGTTCTGCAGGAGCCGCGATAGATCTGAGCAGCAACAAGCTCTGACGCCAAGCAATACAGAAGCCCATTGTAGGTATCTGTTGCGAGTCAGCCTTCGGGGTGCTCCTTCTACAACCCTAGCTTTACCCTCACCCCCACCTACGGCAGCTTGGCGGAAGGATGCGAATGCCTCAATGATGATGTAGCGCAGCCTGCCACAGGAGAAACAAACCAAACAAAGCTCGACTTCCTCAGAATCAGAACCCTTTCATCGACAAGCCATGCATGCCGTCTCCGTAGCATTCGGCCACCTCCTTGTGAGAAGGACAAACTAATACTCGACGGTTTCATACTCTATGCTATGGTGTGTTCAAGGCCTCCCATGTCCAACATATCCTTTTGCCGCCGAACTCATGCGAGGACCCAACGGCAAGAGAAACCACCCCAAGACTCGTAATCAAATGGCAAACAGCAGCTAGCGTGTCAGCCGGGAATTCAAACGCCAATTGGCGACCCCACAGCCCAGACTCCCAGACCCCGCTTCGTAGGCGTTTCGAAGAGCAGCGCCAGGAGGTTTGCATCGTGATCCGCTTCCTTTGCGAGCTCTGCACTCATCTGACATGCGGGGTCAACGTCTGGGACTGATGGTGAAACCAAATAGATCCACGTGTTGGGATTTCCTGCTCGTGTGAATTGCCATCCATGAAAGACAATCAGCCCTGGTTTTAAGAGAAACTCTCGCTGTGACGGCCAGGCACCGAGGCATCTTGCGCATCGCGAACGCTCTTGATGGCGATGCGCTGGATTTCAAGCTGCGCAGCGGGCATGCGGGCATGCCGGCAAGGTCATTGGGACCGATTGCTGGGCTCAAAGGATCACGGGCTCTGCCAGAGTTGCAACTCTCTTTGTGATGTTCAAAGCTAACAGGCCTCACTCTCTCACACGTTGGCCCCTAACCCAGCTCGCACCTCAAGCTGCCACACTCTCATGCTGGCAACCTCCGCTTCCAAGTCCAAGATGCAGTCCAGGACAAGCCTTAGCTCACACAGTCGGAGGAATCTGTGCCAGAGACCTTCTGTGCAACAGGCGAGAAGCAGTGGATCCTGATCCTTGAAGAAGTAGGACTGAGACAACTCGAACAGCAAATTCCGGACGGTCTCCTGGCGAGATACGACCTCACTCTGGCCTCAGAGTCTTGGAGTCTGAAAGGCTGGACCTCTGGCTTGAGCTTAGCTTGCCAGTTCCGCACCTCCTCCTCTTTGAAGCAGGGCAGGTCCAGGATCAGGTGCCAGCCAGTGAGGGCATTCCGCATCGCCTCCCGGATATCTCTCTTCATCACCTGCAACCATGAAGACGGCCCAGCGGACATTTTGATGGCCAGGCTCACCCCATGTTTCCAGTCAGAAAACATCGTCCAGCAAAGGGGTGCACCTCCAGGGTTGTCCTCCCTGCATCAGTGTGGGCAGAGTTTGGCCAAGCATCAAACGAGCTTCAAGCGAGATGATTCCAATCACGAAGGACCGCTCTCCATGCAGCCCAGAGCATGCAAATTGTGTTGCGGAGTTTGTGTTCTGCAACGTAGATCTCATGCGTGGGGAAGCTTTGCTGCACGAGCAGAATGAAGCTCATAGGTTTAGCTTGACATTGCGGCTTCCTCCAAATCATCACGTGCGAATGATGCTAACTTAAAGTTATGTTGCCGATGCAGTGAACATGTTGATTATCACATCATCTGAGCTTCAATAATTGCAAAACGTTGTGAAGCTCGAAATCAGCACCCAATGAGTCGCTGTTGCAACTTGAGCTGCATCTCCAATCCCACATAGGGGTACAGCCAATTTGGGGGTTGAAGAAGCCTTTGTGAGACAGGATTCCTTGAATGAACAACTGTAGCAGCGAAAAGGATCTTGGCTGCATGAGGACTATGTGCATTGTCTTCGTGAGCACATGGTATGCACGCAGTGTGACTGTCTAAGATGCGGTGCAGCATAGAGTTGACAGAGTTGAGCTGCTAGGCACATAGCATGTTGTAGTGCGCTGCAGGACATAAAGTTGGCCAGCTTACACTGCATCGTGTGCAACATGCGCAAGTCAATGTGAAACTGCCACTTGCTTCTAAGCAACAACTCACTTCCTGATAAGCCAGTGAGGGTGCATTCATGTTATCGATGACCACCACCAGGCTCAATGAGCGTTGTCAACGACACGTGTTGCTCAGCAGGTACCCATTATAGCTGCATATGAGCAGCTGGTGCGGCTCCACAAGTTCTAGTCACGATAAGTTCTAGTCACGATGTATTCTGCTTGCTGCTCTCTTGGAAGTATGGGAAGCAGGCGACAGCAACATCTGACTCAGCGAATCACGCCTGGTAATCCAAGCGAGACATCTCGCTGACTGCCATCTTGTCTTCCTGGCGTAGGGGCGGGCATGCTCAATCGCCAAAGCGTACGATCAGACGCTGTTCCGGCCTTCCGCTCCATGGGTCGGTCAATGGGCCGGCCATAGTATCCTTGGTGCCACCCGCCCTCTGAAACTTTGAAAATCAAGGTGTGATGGGCCTAGGTTTCACCTACAGCATGCTTGCTTGCGTCGGCTCCAGGTTTGCTTGACCTCTGAGTGTGCGAGACTTGAACGAACTCAGCTCAAACTATTAGACAACTGTGTCCGCCTCTGCATTTAATTAGTTTGTTTGGCTCCTTTGGCTCCAAGGTGTGAAGAGAATGATTACAGTCCTCATGGAAAACAACATGATCCGGCAGTGTTGTAGCAATGAAACAGCAATATGCTGAGGCCAGAAATCACACACTCGGGCCGCAATCAAATAATAGGATCAAGAACCAATTAATATAGCAAGTGTTCTGCAACTGAAATAGGCCAGGCTCACACTCTGCCAAGACCATGCCTATCATTTCCAGGCATTGCAGCATTGCACTGCTGCCGCAGGTGTGGTTGAAACTCTGTGAATGCCATTGGCAAGCACAGACAGACGCAAGGAAAACTGTTTGATGTGGGTACCCATGTACCTCCCTCCGTAAAGCCATATCAGCGGAAGTTGCCTCGCCCCTGTCCTTTCACAGAGTCCAGGCACGGACCAGCCAACGACGCGCAGCACTTTGCAGCTGTGGGCCCGCAGCGCGCACCCGACCTTGAAGGTCCCAGACCGAAGCAAATCAAATAAGCAGGTTCAAAGCGCACGGCTGAGTACTGTGACACTTCAAGGCATTACAAGTGTATGCTCTGGAACCTGGCCTCTGTCTTCAGTCACCAACTTGATGAAATCCACAATCTCCTTGGTGCAAAACATGTTGAACCACAGGTTCCCTGCGTCTGCGTCTGCGCTACACTCCACCTTTGCGTACCCAGATCAAATTTGGCTGTGGGTCAAAACCCTGTACCCCTGGTGAACATCAAAATCGGTGGTACATGGGTGTTCTTCTGCCCCGAAATGGAGCCATAGATGGCCCATGGCCATCCTCTTCGGAGAGCGCCGGATCAATTCCCGGCAAAGCGGCTCTCTCGCGGAAGGCCTCGCTAGGGTGGTTCTGGTTTTGCAGCAGCGCGACGGCCGTGTCATCGCTCTGCCTCGGTGCTCTCTGCCCAGAACCATGCAAAGAAGAAAGGCGACCGCGCCCATTTGTGGCTGGGATTGCCCCTTAAAACCCCTCCAATTACCCGGGGTTTGATTGCGACTCTTTGCGTGTGGAAAGACCAACGCAAAGAAAAGTCAACGAGGAGTAGATAGCAGACAACCCCAGCGTGATAAGACAGTCATTCCAAGGCTCATAAATCTGACCTCTTGAATCATCTTGCGCAGGCATTCCTTGTCCTCCTGTTGGCACTCAAGGTCAGCATGGCACAATCTTTTGCCATTCTCGGCCATCCCCGCCTTGCCGAAGTTCAGCGAGCGAAACCTGCTAAAAATCATCGGGGTGATCACCTCCAGCAGCGGCTCCCAAGATTTCCTACAGGGGGCAGGCCCCACGAACTCAACATCCGGCCCCAAATCAGACATATCCAGCATCCCCAAGTCATGTCCGCTCCTGAGGTGCGCCACCAACTTCATCATGCAGTCCACAGACGGGCAGAAGCTGCACAGGCCACGCAAAAAGAGCTCCATGTTGCCCTGCATGTCCTGAGCGAAGCAAAAATCCTCATGGCTGTCAGGTGAAGCTCCGAGCCCCTCCTGTTCGGCTTTCTGCCGATCTTTGGCTTCAGCTGGCGGATGCGCTTCATGCCTCAGGTCCAAAACCATCAGAGTCTCGAGGCAAGCACCCAGCTTGAAAACAAAACAAAAACAAGTCTGCAACCGGCTCTCGAACAAGGTGCCTTGCCCGCTCCTGCTGGAAGTTGAGAAACACCTCAGAAATCAGAGTGCAACGCTGAGTCACGCTGAGCAGCCCCGCCGTGTCCGTGGAGCGCAGAAAGGACTCAGCTAGCCTCCTTGCCTGCCAAGGAGAGCAGTTTGAAGGTTGCCTCCGAACTTGCGCCTGGTAGACGTGCCTGAAGCAGCCCAAATCCTCTTGCACAACAACTAATTACAATTTGGAGAATTCCATAATCTTGGCAGATCTTAGCTGCGCAGCGCATCAGAGCTCCCGAGCGCCTCGTCCCTGCTGCACTGAGACGCATTCACGGGCTGCGGCAGCGAGTGCTCCGGCAGGAAGTTCAGCAGCCTGAGGCCGAGACGGCAAAGATGGCAGAGATGGCAAGTTGCCCTCACCCTACCATGGAATCGATAGAATTTCGATCCCTCAAAAGCAAACAAGAGCTCCTGCAGCCGAATTGGGCAATAAAAACTACACTGGACATGCAGGATCAATCGGACCATTGCACTGCTGCCCAAGAGGCTTGAGCCAGTCAAAGGTCTGCTCCTGTCAGGACAAACACGGCAACGAGAGTAATTTGGCTGAATGGACACCCAAGACATAGTGCACTATCTATTGCCCAAAACCCTCTTTCACCATCCAACGATCCACTGACGCTGGAAACCACCACAGACTCTCACCAAATGCGCATTCAATTCAGATTCAGTGCCGCATCACATCGTCGTTTGTGATTCATCAACCCAAATTACAAAGAACGGCAAGAAATGGCAAGGAAGCGTCGAACTGTCGAGCAAACAAACCTTAACACAAGGGGGTCAAACCAAACCAAAACACAAATTGCAATATCGTCCTCCTTGTAGAGCGTCTCTGCTGCCAGGCGCACGCCAGCAGTAGTGGTCATTGATCGATTTTCTCGGCCGCGTTCACGCTCACGATGATCATCCTGTGAGTCTGGATCGCACTTGCAAGTTGAGCAATGTTTCAAACAATAGGAAAGCAGAATGCAGGCATTGTCAAAATCTTTCGCCAGTGGCGCGACAATGGCTGACTCCATAGCTCTGGAAATATCTCCAATACGAAGCCATAAATTTACGTGAAAGTTCAAAGCTTGCAAAAACTGGCTTGAGGCCTTCCAACAAAGACCCAACAACCATGTGTGAGAACAAGAAACTCGTCCGCGAGAAAACTGGCTTCCAAAGTTCCGAACGCGGTCGTCAACCTGGCCTCCACATCTGCGCGAGAAGGGCAATGCTTCCTCAGCGGCGCCCGAGTGCAGTGATTTACCAACAAGGCACTTCTGGAATGCAACAAGCCTACAACGCGGACCTTTTACACACTTAAATCAGCCTGGCTGAGCGGTGGAGTGCGTCGAGGCCTGACAGAGACCATCACCTCTCTCTCCCATCAGCCACGCGGCACGATCCAGCGGCAAACTATCAGTGAGGGAGCCTCCTGGCACACTCAAAAAATCATCCGAATTTGCTCCACCGCATAGTTCTCCAGAGTTCGTTGTGAGAGGCTTCAAAGTTCCCTTCACCCAGCTCCTCTTTCTCCTTCTCCTTATCGGGCTTGCTGGGTGCGCCCATGTGCCCGAAGGGATAGTCCTCCCCGTAGCTCTCGAAGCCGTACAAGCCGACGCCTCCAAAAGTGCAAAACGCCCTGATCTCAAAAAAAAGGCTTGTTTCAATCTAAAGCACACTTGAGCTCATAGGCTTGGCTTTGGCAACACCAACCCATGCGACTTCCCAAGAAAGCCCGACCTGACATGGCGCCCTGTCGTTTCATTGTGCCCAGAGCGGCTGCTGCAGCTAGCACCACCTGGAAACCGGCACACGGAGCAAAGCTGAGTCTGCGGACTTGCTTCAGTCAAACTTCCAAACCACCTGATGTTTCAATAAGAGATTCTTAACCTGCGCTTCCCACCTAAATACTCAGTCCCCCATAACTCAGGCTGTTTGGCACTGCAAGTCCAACACAACAACCCACCATGTGCTTGATGCATACTCATCGTTTCCGCTATGGATACAAAAGGAACGATTTGTGCTTGTTAGACCCCTGAACTTAAATGGAGCCAAGCTGCCTGCGCTGGTGCAGGAGTATCCATGCCCCAGTGGGCTATCAGTTCCTGGCGATTTCTGATTCTTTGCTTATTTCAAGTCAGCAAGCTTGACTGCCACCATCATGAGCCATCCCACTTCTCAATGCTGACATTCGATCGAACATGACAGGCAGTGCCAAAGTAACCGAACAAACTCGCCCGGAAAGCCTCCAAGGCTTTGTCCAGAAGAGCACGCTTCTTTGTGAAGTTTGAGCCCGCCAGCGCCACCATTCTTCGGTGAAACTCCCTGCAGAAGCATCAGTCGCACGAATGGCACGCCCAACGTGCAGGTGTGCATGTGTGGGTATCTTAACGAATGCAACGGAAAAAGTGCAACCACCAGATCGCGATCCACAATCTGCCTGATGGTGGTCACGTTTGACTGCAGCAAAAACATCTCATCCTTGGCTCCGTGTGGACGCAGCCCGTTGCCCCACGCAAGCAGTTGTCAGCACAACTGAGACGTGCTGGTGGTCAGAAAGATAAGGGGTGCCATCTCTTGTGTGCTCAAGCCGACCAAAAGATTCGCCGCTTTCAGTGCTTCACTGCACCCTACAGCGTCACTGATGCGCGATTCAATATTGGGTCTGCCACTCCGCTATTTCCAAGCCGTGCATTGAGGAAAACTGCCAACGCGCCGCCACGACAAAACATGCCTCACAGAATCCCCTGAGAATCCACTCTATGCTAGCAACTTGATCGGTCAGTAAGAACATGCGTTCACGTGTGTGTCTTCCTTTTCTTGTCCTCTAATAGCTCCACCCGCCCAACGACAAAAAAATGGTTGCCAAGCAGGTAGTCTGAGGTCCAATACATGGTCAAGCTTCCCAGACAGGGCTGGTCGCTGCAAATGTCACTGACCCATGAATACATGCACTGCCTTGACGCTCATCCACCCCACGGCCGAGCTACATTGACAAACAGCTTGAAGCCTTCATCCTGTATGGAATCAGGACCTGAGAACTTCGCCTCGGAACATGCAGTGTCGCAGGCTCCCTCTGCTCCATGAAACAATTTGCGGGCAACAACTGTGGAGGCACATCTGGCATGAGTGACTCACTTCTGTGGGGCAGATTTGTGCCAGCTCGCGAGATGTCTTGCCAAATAGAAGGCTAGCCGACCCTGAGATCCTTGCCTTGTGATAATAGAACTGCTTCAAGTCACCTGGGCATGCAACGCTTGCTCGAGACTAGCACCTTGAGTAACTGTGGCTGCGATCAACACCGCATCTCACCCCCGAATCACATTAGAGCATTTCATTTGAGTCATCGCTTCATGTCCTCCAGCCCTCTGGGCCGCCGCACCCTGCTCGCCACCCCGAGCACCATCTTCGCTGCGGATCGTGGTGCCCGCATTGTTCTGGATGGTATAACCTGCGGAGAGCAAGGCATGCGGAGCGAGACAAGGAACTCGGAAACAGCTCTGACAGCTCTCATTCTGTGCCGAATGCTGGGCTCCCTGCCATACTCAAAGGTTGGCGCTTGGGTGGTGCCGCGGGAATTTCCCAGCACTGGCGGCAAGGGGCTTTGACGAGATGCGCGACACTTTCCACTTTCATCGCTATTTGGCTTGCTATTCGAGGGCCAGCAAGGCTGAAGTGCTTCCTGGGACAATGCCAGAGAAAAAAAACAAATTTTGGTGCTAGAATGTTCGACTGACACTCGACTGACTTGAACAGGTCCAGTCGCCATATTTTCAGAACTTGGTCCTTCTATGGCTGTGCAGAATGCGACAACTGCAACTCCGGCAAGCAAAACTGCGGGAGGCGAGAACCTTCGCCCGCGCGAACGTTCGCCCGCGCGAACGGCGGAGGCCTGTACCAGCGGCCATAAGGCCTATCAGCGCCGCAGGCGCCTGCTGCGCTGGTGGTGGGACCTCAGTTTTGCATAGGACGGCGGAAGGCAGAACGCAAAACTCCAGACGTTCTCGACGCCTTAACGTCATGACTCATGTTGCCGCAGCCGCGGCTGGAAGAATTATGCCAAGCTGCTACGTTGGCTGCATTGATCTGCACTGTTGCATGCCAGAGTCTCCGGTCGCCCGTCTGATTGGGCTGCATCTGCACCGGATTTGTAAGTTCCTGGGCACACAAACTCCTCTAGATGCTCCAGTCATCGGCTATGGGAGAACTATAGGTGACACAGCACGACCTGTCGTTCCAAGTCTCTGCTATGGTGCCCGTCAAGCACACGACTTCGCCTGCACATGCACGTGAGCACTGCGCTGCCAGGACTTGAAGGTCCCCCCCCCCCTAACCCTCCCGCGAAGGAGAGATGACAGGCCTGGTGCTGGAGTAGGGTGGACAAAGACCGAGAATGTCACATCAATCCTCAGGTGTTGCTGGAGTCAATGCGAGACAGAAAGCTTGCGTTGTAGCAGCTTCCTTCTGATTGGTGCGTGGTTACCATTCACCCTCTGCATAAGCCAGGGGTTCCAATCCCCAACCAAATCCAACCACCAACTCAGGCTTCCCTGATTGCATAGGCTGGCACACAAGCCCCGCCAAAACTGAGCGACCTCCGCCGCGAAAGCTCCGCCCACGGCCGAGGGGCGGCCCTCCCCGGCCGCGACCGCGTCGGCCCATGATTGGCCCCGCTTCCTCCATCATCGGGAAGTCTTCTTCCTGAGGCCAAGCTGCCTGAAAAACACCCTGACAACCAAGGTGCTGCTTGCCCTCTGACCTGCTGACTGGCTGGGGGCCAGTCAAAACCGGTGCAGAAAGTACTTTGGAGAAGCAAACCCATCCAAACTTGTGCCCCGTGCATGACCTATGACTCAAAAGGCAAAGCATGGGTCCTCTATCAAATCCATGGCTGCCAGGCCAGAATAACTGCTCGCTCTTTCACCCAAAACCAATTGCTGGAGCCGCAACATAGCAATATGCACGCAACATTGAAGCAACTCATCTCAAAATGTCGGCAGAATGTGTGTGTGTGTGTGTTTCAGCTGATATGCAACTCAATTCTTGAAAACATCTATTGTACTTCTTGAAGGCATGAACCTGCAAGTGGCGGTAGTCTGAACTCAAAATACAAAGACCTGTTGTACGTCGAAATCGCCAGGGTTGTTACACCGAAAACTGAAACAAATATTCACGCAAAGGATATGTAGGAAACATGTTCGAAACATATTTGTTGCTGTTGTTGCTGCTGCTGCTGTTGTTGTTGTTGCGCTGAAACACGCTCAAGGATATGTCTGTTGACATTCAACATTGCCTTCTTGGTTCCAGGAATCCTGCAAACATGATAAGCATTGAATGCATTATATGACATGCGTTTCAAGCACGGCACATTGTCGACTGTCACATGGATTTCAGTCCCATAATTAGGTTTGAACAACAACAACAACAACAACAACAACAACAACAACAACAACAACAACAACAACAACAACAACAACAACAACAACAACAACAACAACAACAACAACAACAACAACAACAACAACAACAACAACAACAACAACAACAACAACAAACAACAAACAACAAACAACAAACAACAAACAACAACAACAACAACAAACAACAAACAACAAACAACAACAACAAACAACAACAACCAACAACCAACAACCAACAACCAACAACCAACAACCAACAACCAACAGCCAACAACCAACAACCAACAACCAACAACCAACAACCAACAACCAACAACCAACAACCAACAACAAACAACAAACAACAAACAACAAACAAACAACAAACAAACAACAAGCAACAACAAGCAAACAACAAACAAACAAAAAACCAACAACCAACAACCAACAACCAACAACCAACAACCAACAACCAACGACCAACGACCAACAACCAACAACCAACAACCAACCCACAACAACCAACAACCAACCCACAACAACCAACCCACAACAACCAACCCACAACAACCAACCCACAACAACCAACCCACAACAACCACCCCACAACAACCAACCCACAACCACCAACCAACAACCACCAACCAACAACCACCAACCAACAACCACCAACCAACAACCACCAACCAACAACCACCAAACAAAAAAAACCAACCACCACCAACCAACAACAACCACAACAACCACAACAACCACAACAACCACAACAACCACAACAACCAGAACAACAACAACAACAACAACAACAACAACAACAACAACAACAACAACAACAACAACAACAACAACAACAACAACAACAACAACAACAACAACAACAACAACAACAACAACAACAACAACAACAACAACAACAACAACAACAACAACAACAACAACAACAACAACAACAATCAACGGCATATTGACTATCACTATGTACACATGCACCGGGCAATTTTTCAATGGCAATCACTACTGCCTGCAGCTCGGCTCGTGCAACGGTCTGAGATCCCGATGTTTGCGAGGCCAAAGCAACTCGAAATTGGTTGGGGGTTACGCGATTTTTCTGAAAGGAATCAAGGGCATTTTGCTTGATCATGTCCGAATCAAACTGCACAACCACAATTGCCCACCCGGATAAGCGAGCTTCAGGACAAGTTTGGTGCAGTCCGCTCCCATCGGTGAACACGTCAAGGGGCAAGTGCCCAGATATACTATTAAGAAAGTTAGTGTCGAGGTCTGGCTCCGTCTGCATGTAGCAGAGTGCTACCAGGGCGTCAGCATCATCGTGGCGGCACGAAACAGGGCACGGACAGCTTTTCTCTATGTGCCAATAGCCGCATAGGAAATAACCCACTAAGGAACCTCGTACTACAGGACAACATTGTGTCCTTCGCAATGGAAACAAGCGAACGCCTATCCAGAAACTTCGTGACTCAATCCGCTGAGCTATTCGACCCAAAGGACCTTGCACGAATTCTTTGCGTCTTACTGGGCAAAATTCTAGGAAAGAGATTCTAAGGAAGAGCAAGATGACGCACAAGCATGGAGTGCATTTTCAGAATTGCTAAAGCTTGTACCTCCGCCCTCACAGGCGTTTGAGATAGATATGAGTAATTTTGAAAAATGGACTCAAGGTATTGCCAAACTGAAAAAACGCACATCCCAGGGTGTGTGCGGCTTTACAGCTCCCGAGCTTAAATCTTTGAGTGAACATGGAGTGCGGGACCTCTCCGACATCCTTCAAGGATTCAACGATGGTTGGCCGGAATGAATCATGGTCAGCAGAGTTTCTTGAAATTCCGCTGTCGCCTAACGATGCTCGCCCTATTACGGTAGCTTCATTGCTGTGGAGACTCTGGTCTAGC